TTCGAGTGTAACTAAACGAGCCAATGCACATTGGCATGCAATTATTGCATCCAGCTGCCGCTGATCACAGCGTGAGCATAAAAAGGCAGCTGGTGCAATGCATACCAGGTTTTTGCTGAGGAGCCGAGCCGGTGACCCGGCTGCTCAGCGGTGGTACAGCAGCCGTGGCGACGGGACGTGACGTCTCCATTCCCTCCTTCAGGGAATGAGCGTTACATACGTAACCGAGACGTTCCCTTTCAGTCGGTCATTACAAGTCACGTCGTGACTGACGAATTGGCATTCCCTACCAAAGCGCCATGGATGCTGCCATGGTGTAGAGGGAGAAGAGCAGTGGAGAGAGAACACAACCCTAAAGAGCTCCAGTGCTGATGATACGGGTGCTGGATGTGTATTTTCCCAGCCTCACTAGCTGCTGCCTGTCTGTCAGGAAGCTGTTGATCCACTGACAGACGGAGGTGGGCACGGAGAGCTGAGTTAGTTTGGGCAGGAGGAGGTTTGGGATGATGGTGTTAAAGGCCGAGCTGAAGTCCACAAACAGGATCCTCACATAAGACCCTGGTCTGTCTAGATGTTGCAGAACAATGCAGTCCCATGTTGACTGCATCATCCCATGTTGACTGCATATCCCACCACTATTCATCCTTTATAGCCCACAGCTGACTTCTAGATTTTTTTTTTTTGTGCCAGACAGCAAGTCACAAGAAGCCTTTACAGTGATTTTTCCTAGGGTGACCATACATCCTCTTTTTCCTAGACATGTTCTGGCCAGAATAAATTGCCTAAGATATCCAGGCTTTTGTTTTTTTTCCTGTTGACATGCTCTATATAGTCCTAAATTATATGTATGTGTATTTGCATTGATTTGATTAGATCCCACCTTCTTGCCTGCCACAATTGGTCAATTATGTAAAATGTTTGCAAGCTATTGGTCAAACTACCTTTCAGTCATTACCTTTGGCAAGTATGAAAACAAAGCCAAAACTGGGACATTTTTAGAAATCCAGGCCTGGACATGTCTGGGAAAAAGACGACATGGTCACTCTAATTTTACCATTACTATTTTTCCTAATTCTACCATGATTAAGCCTTAACTGTGGTGAAATCACTTACTATTAATAATAACAATAAACATTTCTTGTTTAAAACAATAGATGAATGTAGAACATTAGCATAACTGTATGTTGTTAACAAGTGCCAAGCAACATAGCACACTATATGTATACATGTACTGTATATATACACATGTATATATGTATACACAGTTATTAAAAATAAATTAGTACTTTTATTAATTTCATTAAATATGCATTAAATGAATGAAAAGAGCCAGTAAAGACATGTATAAGGTTACAAGAAAATTCTGATAAATTCAGCTTTTTTGAGCTTTCTATTCTTCCTGAGTAGGAAGAATAGCTACTTTTTAAAGAATTCTGAAAAAAGATCATAACGATTACCAGAACACAACTGTTTTAGACATTGATAATAATAAGAAATGTGTCTTGAGCAACAAATCAGTATATCAGAATGATTTCTGAAGGATCATGTGAGACTGGAGACTGGAGTAATGATGCTGTAAATTCAGCTTTGCATCACAGGAATAAATTACATTTTAAAACATATTCAAATAGAAAACAGTGGAACAGTTAAATTGTCATAATATTTCACAATATTACTGTTTTTATTGTATTTTGAACAAATAAGCAGCCTTGTTGATATAAGAGTATAGTGTTAAAGGGGTCATATGATGCGATTTCAATTTTTCCTTTCGGTATTCGGCCAATCACAACGCACTGGATAGCTGGCCAATCACAGCACACCTCGCTTTTTCAGACCGATGAGCTTTGTAAAAATCGACGCGTTTCAGAAAGACGGGGCATAGAGGAGAAACAATAATGTACAGTATGTGGAAAATAATGTGTTTTTTTTTTAACCTTAAACCACATAAACACATTTCATTACACCAAATACACAAAATAATGTTATTTTTAGCAGCATCATATGACCCCTTTAAGTAACTCTTTCCATACTTCTGGTTGATCTCACTGATATAGTGCGTCCAATTATGTGAGGAAAACCAAATCTC